TGACCGAACGAGACGATCAGAGCGTTAAACAGAAGGAACGACGCGCGAATTGGCTGCAAGAAATTGTTTACACCGATCCTTGTATCCGCGGATGGCCTTTTATCCGAGTAAACTTGCCAGAAGCAAGTGACGAAAGTCTAAAGAAGGAAAGAGACGAGTAGAAGAAAAGACAAAGAGCGAGCCCCTCAAAATGTTTATCGCTATTCCTGGCGCCTCGATCCAAGCAGATGGCCCACGTGATGTCATAGGCAGAAGTCGAACTTCGTTCGAGACGTCGACGATCGTTTTAAACAGGAACAAAGGTGAACAAATTACCGAGACCAATCCAAGGATCACCTTTGGCCACGATCCTCGCGAAAAAGTGTCATTTCCAACGTCTTAATTCACTGCAATAGTCAAAATCAGTCAATTTTAGGGTACTCCTGTTCTCTTTCACAATAGAATATCAACCTGGACTACGATTACCTGGACTTCTGACAGTCTCTGTAGAAAAGAATCAGTAGATCTCGATCGAATTCGACCATAGGCCTACCGAGACAATCTAAGGATCACCTTTGACCACAATCTCACGGAAAAGTGTTATTTCCAACGTCTTAATTCACTGCAATAGTCAAAATCAGTCAATTTTAGGGTACTCCTGCTCTCTTTCACAATAGAATATCAACCTGGACCATGATTACCTGGACTTCTGACAGTCTCTGTAGAAAAGAATCAGTGGATCTGGATCGAATTCGATCATAGGCCTACCGAGACAGTCCAAGGATCATCTTGGACCACGATTTCACGGAAAAGTGCCATTTTTAACGTCGTAATTCACTCCAATAGTCAACTTCAGTCAATTTTAGAGTACTCCTGTTCTCTTTTGCAATATTAGCCTGGACTTCTGATACAGAAGGATCAATCTCTAAACACAAAAGGATCAGTCATCACGAGACATGTCCTCGGTTTGCTTGCGTCCCGGTCAAACAATTCGAGAACCTCGGGATGAACACCATGAGGACACACGTGACGCCTGCGTCCAAAAAAAGAAGCTGGAACGGAACCCGCAAAGACAATAAACTGGATGAACTTCCGTCGAGGGAAAGTGAGACTCTCGGGACAATTAGACGTCTGTGCACCGAGGATGTTTGGAAACGGGACAAAAGAAATCGAGAGTGCAAGGAGACTGGAACTGAAGTAGCTGCGGCTTGTACTGGAGGAGCAGCGAGTCCAGGAAATGGTGGGCGAGATGGAATTCCTCCTATGCTTCTGAAGATGAGATGATAAATAGACGTCGTCCCAGCTCGACTAATTGCTGGAACGTTTAAAGTGTTTTGCAAGGAATTCACTTGTCTCGCGAATGAAATAAACTTCGAGTGCTATTATTTTACTGGCTAGCCTGTCTCTGGTATTAGAAAGTTAGCTCTACTATCACGATAGTTACTATGAAACTAAGGGAGAAGTCATAGAATGATTATTTCTGTGATCCAGCAGTCAGCAGATAACATTCGTACTATCAAATCTCTTTCTTTTGTCTCAAATATTATTTAAAATCGTGTTAAACGCTTACCTTACGTCCGGATGGTGCGTGCTATAGTCATCAGCAAGGTCGGTCGCACGTCGAGTCGTTTCGTCCGAACACAGCGAAGAATAACACGCAACTGAAACAGAAAACATCGGCGAAAATTAAGCAGGAGCCTGATCTGTGTTTACGTTCAGCCCTAGCAAGAAACCACGCCTCACTGTGACACTCGTGTTTGGCCCGAATTCCTTACGAGTCTCGCGATGTCGTAGACCAAGTGATCAAACGCAAAATAAATTGATTAATTTCCTTTCTCGAGTTAACTAGAATTACAAAATTTTACTTGCATTACCTAAAAGATTGTTCTAAAAATTTGTCTCGACTCAACATCAATGCTCCTGTTAATATTTGAGCAACAGTTACTATAGATCTTATAATACTGATGATAATAATTCCTAAAATTATTCTCACGATTCACAAGAATCCCTTCTCCAGTTGGTATTCCACCAATTGAATCTTATACAACTACCACCTTCTCAGAACCACCCAAGTTTGTCAACCAAGTAGCAGCACCGAAAGCTTCGAAACCCAACAGCATGATCACAGGCCTCGTACCAATAAAAACATTAACCCCAACATTACGTACAGAACTCATCAATCAGTTGAAAAGCCGTTGCCGACGCAACTTCTCGCCAATTAAATCCTTCAGACCCAACATCATCTTGCCAGACCCATCAACCTGTCCCACGGAGGATCAACGAAGAGCACCCAAGCTGAGCTGCTCGTAATATTCCATCAGTCGTCACATCCTGGCACAACAGAACCGTTCTCCACGTTATTATTATAATTTCGCTCGAATCATCGAACCTGAAAGGCGCGGACAGCTTCCTAGTCTGAATCGTAGGCTTGCGGGCCAGGATGAGGCGAGAGAAGAGCGCAGACACCCTCGACAGATCTCTAAATTTAGTCGGTCACATTCTGACGGGGAAGAGGAACGAATAGACGTCGACAACGAGCTGAGAGGCAGGAGGATGAACGCCGATGGGACATGGTTCCAGATGGAACGCCGGAAGGGACACTGTCGCGATTCTAGACTGGCCGACGTCCAAATGGCGACACCTCTGATCATGAATGGGCCACTCGGGCGAACGAGTTTCCCCGTGGCTCGATTTTCGCGAAAGGGAGCCAAGTGCACGACTGTACCCGGCTAGCCACGAATCTTCACCTGATGTTCAAGGTTGAGAAATCGTCGAATGTGTCGGACACTTTTGCACCCGGCGATTATTATTTCAATAGGCTGCGGAATCGAGCCGTGACGTGATGTTTCGCTTTCAAGTTTGAGACCATCTCTCGATGAACGTGGCTTGTGGCTATCTTTCATGGTGGATCAAATGTTTCGCGTTGCGGAACTGCGTCAGGTCTTGGGCCCAACTCGACAGGTATGTTGAGATTCTGATTTGACGAAGAAGATTCCTGGATTTGTGGGATTTGGGTAATTTCACGTTGCATTAGTGCACTCTGAAAATGCCATTTGGTAACATCAGTGGTTAATTAACAGTGGACTTATTGGACCAGATTGAACAATTAAAGTGACGTACCTAGTGAAAGGATGCAGCTGCTGTTGTGATGGGAACGTAATTATTTTCATAGTGACTATGGTATTCTCTTGTGGTGTTACTAAGGTACATTAGGGATATTTTCAACATTCCAGTTCACGTATTCTTGGTTCATTGGTGCCAAACAGCTAATTCTATCTTTACCATAACTTCTGTAAGGATTAACAAATTAGTACTACCTTACAAATAACATTTCATAACACTAATACGGGGGCCAAAGAAGGCTGAAAAGGCAGAAGGCTATTAGCGTGAACGATAATTCGTTCGATCTTCTGCCAAACGACGACAACCATAATCTCAGCCCAGTCAATTTTTCAAAATTGCAATATCCATCGACGACTTTCGAATCTTAGAACTAATCAATAACACGGGTACCATTAGTTAACGAGAAAATAGCCTTACAGAGAAATAAAACGGCACGTGGGCACAGACGTTTAGCATCGCGTACGTGCTGCCGAGAAAAAGAGACCAGGGCTGGTATGATGAATGGTATCCGTGAAATTGAGTAATGAAACGCCGGTAAAGATCGTTTTTGAGTAACAAATGATTTCAACAGCCTATATTTTTGAGTCACCGCGTGGAAATACACCGGGAATCGCTTGTTACGTCGAAAGTGAAATGTTACTGACAAGAGTAGAGGAACAGGCTACCATTACGCGGGAGAAATCCCATTAGATAGCGGAATACAACCTGTCATTAAATCTCGCGGAAGAACGTTTAATATTCCTGAAAACCAAACGGCCACGTTCCACTATCGAATTACCGAAAATGTTAAATTTATCACACAGTCAGAGGGCCTCAATTAACGAGCGCCCCGTCCCAGCGGCGGCCGCATAGGGGGCAGTACGGTCGCGGGCAATTATCCCGCAGCGGTGAATTGTAATTGCAAAAAAGTGACGTAGAAATTCTAATTACACGGCATGAGCCATCAATTATGACGAAAATCGATCCACCTGTTTCCTCTTGCAAGAGCTGAACAAAACACGAGGATAATATTCAATTACCGGAGGCTCGGGAACATAAAATTCTGAAATTACAGTTAATATCCATTAACCGATGATAGACCGAGGTTGTTGTGACAACTGGAGGTGATCATCATGGCTTCCAAGAAATGAAGGATGAGAGATTGACGGATCGACGAGGTTCCTGTTTTTGGAACAGAGGATGATCCAAAAGTAGAGGATCGAGGTAACAGATATCGAATCGCCTGTCGTGATTGCCTCGTGCGATGTTAGCGGCGTTTATTGCAGCCACGATTCGCGGAAGAATCGAATTAGAAGAACGCAGTTAGGCTGCCAAGTAGCGAAAGCTGGTGGTTTATCTTTCGTGAACTTGGCGGTCAGAGTTGTTCAACGATAGCAGAAGATTGGTTCTTTCTAGAGAGGTAGTCGAGCTTTTTTGTTTGCTGAATCACTTCTTCGCAATTTGAAATCGTGTCAGGGTTGATATCTTTGGACAAAGCCTTGTTCTTGGTTCATCTTGGTCCGGATTAGGTTTGGTTAGGTTGGATTTTACGGAATTACTTCTTGACAGATCATAATAGTTTCAGGATTGATATCTTTGGGGAAAGATTTAGCCTCGGTCAAATACCATGATTGATTTAATTTTGGGATTTAATAAACGCAGGATCTTTTTATGACAGCAATGCAATGTTGAACCGTTGTAGTTCTCCAAGTACTGAAAATAAGATCTAGATTCAACGAAGATGATCTTCCAATTAACTTCTTGAACCCATCATTGGTTACCTAATAACAAACTTTGTTATACTTTGTTATACCTACCCACTATGACGATAGTAGAAGCTTCAAGTATTATGACCATGCACCTACCTAGAGTAGGATTTATACGTTTAATCATTAAACGATGAATTATTTTCCCAACAGATGTAAATCACCCCGAGGTGGTGGTGGTGTCAGTCGGTGAGAAACTGATCCTTCGATGTTCGACTTCGAACGCGGAGACGACCTGGTACAAGGGAGACGAGATCTTCCGACCATCGACGCCGAGGATACGGTTAATAAAGCAGTCGTTGAGGTTCAAGTACATCGATCCTGAGGACGCTGACTCGTACGGTTGCCTGGTGGAATCCAACACGACCCTCGAATGGAGGAACGTGACGATACGAATCGTGCCGTTGCAGAACGACGGATATCCGCACGAATCCGAGAGGCTTGGCAGCACTCTGGGTGCCCACAGGACGGAGGAAGAAACGAACGAACTAGAAATCGAAACGAGAAGTTAGTAATCCCTCAAATTGGTGCCTACTTGCTAAAATATGAAATTCTCATCCACCAATCTTTATCATCTTAGGATACGTTTGAATAATTTTGAAAATTCTTTACACTTACTATTATACCAGTCCAGTAGTTGGTCATGTTCACCTTGTATTTGTCCCACATTTGCATATATCTTACTGGCCAATTTTTGTCGAGTGTCCAAGCTTGCTCCTGACCGTATGGTACACGATCCTGGTCTGACACACGAATTAACCTCGATCACGTTGATTGCAGACCTGCCAGAAACGCGGTCGTTGCATCTTGACAGCGAGAACGTAGAAATCGACCTGGACAACGAGAAAGGCGAGAATGAAACAGCTGGAGAACACAACAACACGGCTCCAGAACGAGCACCGTCCTTCAACAAGAGCGTAGAGATGCCTAACGTGGTCGTGAAACCAGCTGGCAACATGTTACGCTTACGGTGTCCAAGCTTTGGCAACCCGAGACCTAACATCACGTGGTACAAGAACAACGGGGAGACAAAAAGAACACTGGGCATAGTGGTCAAGTCCAAGTGGACCTTCAGACTGGAGGACCTGGTGCCTGAGGACAGCGGGAACTACACGTGCGTGGTGTGCAATTATCTGGGATGCATCAATCGCACGTCCAAAGTTGAAATTGTCGGTGAGTGTCTTGGTCTTTTGCATTTGAATAACGAATGAGCATAAATCTCGGTATGAAACGAGAATTTCGAAGCCTATCTGTGACGAGTTTAGGTCTAGGAAGACCGAAGTAAACCATGTAGCCTACAGATATAGGAAGAAGGGTTTAGAGTTTAAGATCGGGGTGACAGGCTGCGACACAGGAACTGTCATAACCTCGTAAAATTTTGGAAACAATCATGGAATTTTGGAAAAGTAAAATTGTGGAACCTGAGAGAAATAAAAATTCTAGGATATTGACAAATGTTTAATTGCAGTACATTCTGGGAAATTAATAATCAGAAAGCATTGGAATATTAGATATTTGTAAAATTTGAAATAATTTAAACTGTATAATTTAAAAAATTGTAAGAAAATAGTAGAATCTTGGGAGACTAAAGTTTCAAAAAATTCGAGATTTTGATTCACGATTGCAGAATTTTTTAACCTTTAAATTGTAAAAATTGCATTTGTAGATGATTTTTCGAATTTGTATTAAACCCTAAAATACAATATACTTCGTATCTCTCAAACCGAAAAAGAGCGCGAAATTTAAAATAAAAATTCAAGAATGACGTAAAATTAAAGAAGAAAAATATTTCGAATATCGAGATATATAAAGATAAGATATATGACACCATTCCTCGTATTGCAACCTGTCACCCAAGTTTCACTGGGAACGGTAGCCATAAGAAGTTTATGTTTATAAGAAGTTTAGAACGGCAGCCACCGTGTCGTAGAGAAATGGACGGCGACATTAAATCGTGGTGAATTTTCATGAATCTGTAGAGCGTTTTCCGCATAAACCGTACATCAACGTGGATTTCCCGAAGAACGTAACCACGGTGGCGAACAGCACGGTGACGTTCAAGTGTCCGATCGTGTCCGATCTCGAGCCGTATATTCAGTGGATGAAAGTAGTCGGGTACCCTGTTGACCAGGAGAGTACACCGAAAGGGATTCTTCTTCAGGTACACACAGATCGGCTTGTTTGATGGTGGAGGTTCCCGTGTCTTCTCGATGGATCTTAATCGTCGTCCAAAAATTTCACCAAAAATGTCCGATAACGAACAGATTTATCTCCAACTGTACAGATCTAGGGATAATCTGGTGATCTTGTTCGAGGCGTCTAAGTAATATCGTAGTGACTAACTACATGGTGAAGGAAACTCATGCCCCTTGGTATTTCAGGTGCTGCCCGATGGACTTGCTTCATTTTGTTTTTAACGTTTTTAACAGTGCCACGTTGCTGTATTCTCTTTTCCCTTCTATTCGATGTCTGTTCTCGGATACACGAGGATTGGGGTCTCTTGGGATCGAATTCGTGCAATAGTGAAAGATAATATCGTGGAATTTGTGGGGAAAACAATTCGATTGATATTTATTTTAAGGTTAGAATTGCCCGATGAGTCTAATTTGAAATTAGCGAAGATGCTGATGCTGAAGAGTCATACTCAATATGTACTACAAAAATACTTGACGAATACTACTACAATTATTAACTCTCGTGTAATACAGTATATATTAATAGTATAATATAGTATAGTAAATTTATTCATTGCAGAATTATAGATCAAGTTAGACTATAGATCGTTTCATTTTTTCCATTACTGAGAACAAAAATACTGTATGTCACTAAATATCACTAGATATCACTAAATATCGAATGGAATTTCTTTTGACAAATATCGCAGTAATTATTACCATTTCTGCATAATATAGTTTACAATATTTAGCTACATTACGTGTCATTAATTGCAGAATCGAATAAGCTAAGACCTAACCTATTCAAAAATTTCATTTGCCTCATGATTCTTCGATAATCTTCGAATAATTTGAGATAGGTCTTAATAATTTTGATTTAGATCGATATTAGAAGTAAATTTGTGCAAAGAACGATTAAGGATGCTGCGATCTATGGAATACTCACCGACGAGTGAAACTAGTTTGATTCCAAGGGACTTCTCTTCCTTTCTTTCTATCCTCCGATACTCGAGCTTGGTAAAAACGGTGGTTGGGTCTATTTTTCCTATAGAGAGCGTGAAACACCGGCCGATACTGACCAGGCCTCCGAGAAACACGACGGTTCTGATAGGAGGCAACGTCACTATGACCTGCGAGGTTCTGTCGGACGCGCACCGCCATCTTGAATGGTATCACGGTTATCACATCTCTTTCGACACTGTCAACAAAACCAATCAAAGTTTCCGGGTGGAGGTCAAGGTGGGCACGTAGAACTATTTGAAATTGCATGAAACGCTATTTCTCACTATACCTCTGCTTCTTCTATCGTTAATCGATTAATAACTGTTCTCCAATCGATGAAGTAGCCATCCATGTCTGTGATCTTATTAACGCTTTCCTTAATTATCTTTCCCCAATTTTATTAAAAAAATTGTAGAATAAGTAGAGTACTATGAATCTTTCTTAGGAGTACTATAAAATGTTCTTAAAATTGTACAAAGTTATTTAAAAAATTATAAAATCATTGTAAGATATTCTTAAAATTAGTGTACTTTTGTAAAGAGTTATTCAAAAAATTATAACTACGTGAATATTCTGTACATAGAAACATTTGCAGTTCTGCAGTAAATAACGTCCAAGTATATATCTTAACTTCAGACCTTCCTCACCAAGTGATTTATAATATGCTAGTATTAGTAATACTCATGATCAATGGTAATAAAATATCAGCAGATGATTTATATTTCCAAATTTTCCAAATATTTTCCACATTCTCTGTCACACTGTCGAGGTGCAAAGCACAAAATTCAAAGACCCTGCAAACGTTCCAAACCAAACCTGCTCGTATCACCTATTATATCAATATACTGATTTATTAAATGATGACTCAATAGTCTTATTCGATCTCTCAATAGGCCGAAGGTGCAAAAGACCCTGAGGTGCTCACGCTGTACAACGTGACAGAGAAGGACGAGGGGTGGTACACCTGCATAGCCCAGAACGCTTTAGGGGAGACTTTCAGCAGCGCTTATCTTCGAATAGTAGAATGTAAGTATCCATAAACGCCAATATCACTGTCCTTTCATACCACTCATCCAATCTTCACTAAAAATCTCTTTGTCCTTTCATCAGCCTTGGAAGACCATGGAATACCACTGACAGCGAAACCACAAATTCTCGTCAACGTCCTGGCCGCGGTTCTGTTCATCTTTTTCGCTGTGGGCGTGGTAGTCGTTATATACATCTTCCATCGACTAAAACGCGAGAAGATGAAGAAGCTGTTGGCCATAGAAACGGCACGTGCAGCAGTGGTGACCCAATGGACGAAAAAAGTGATCGTGGAGAAGCAGAATTTGGTGAACGCGCAGAACGTACAGGAACCCTTGCTGATGCCCGTAGTGAAGATCGAGAAGCAAAAATCGACGGTCGCCGCGGAGGACAGTAATGGTGGAAGCATATCGGAGTACGAGCTTCCGGTGGATAGTGCCTGGGAATTGCCTAGGGAACATTTGACCTTGGGGAACACTTTGGGTGAAGGTGCCTTTGGAAAGGTGGTCAGGGCGCAGACGAACACTGGGAAGCCAGGAATACCCTGTGTAGTGGCTGTAAAGATGTTGAAAGGTAGGTGCCATATTGAGTCTGGTAGCCATATTGATTCTAGTCGCCATACTGGACTCGTTTGGAATCCAAATTCTTTTAGAACCTCCACCTGAAAAAAATAAGAATAGGATTAAGAAATATTATATATGTATATACATATTGGTTTCCATACTTAGGATCATACCTTGACAGTTATTGTAGGTGTCGCCACTAGCTAACTCTATTTGTTTTATTTTCTTGGAACATTAATTGTTCCAGTAGTCGTGGACCAGTTCATTCTTCTTAAAGACTTAAAAATTCACGCTTTAAACATTATCCAGAAATATAATTTTCTATCACTAATTGCTCCACAGAGGGTCACACCGACGCAGAGATGATGGATCTGGTGTCCGAGATGGAAATGATGAAGATGATAGGCAAGCATGTGAACATAATCAACCTGTTAGGAGCCTGTACACAAGGAGGACCACTATACGTGGTCGTAGAATTTGCCCCACATGGAAACCTCCGTGACTTCCTACGAGACCACAGACCTTCTTCTGGATATGAACCAACAATTGGTCAGGAACCAAAAGAGAAGAAGACTTTGACGCAGAAGGATCTGGTGTCTTTTGCCTATCAAGTAGCCAGGGGTATGGAGTATTTGGCGAGCAGGAGGTGCATTCACAGGGATCTGGCTGCCAGGAATGTGCTGGTTAGCGATGAATACGTGTTGAAGATCGCTGACTTTGGTCTAGCTAGGGACATTCATTGCCATGACTACTATAGGAAAACCACTGATGGAAGGCTTCCGGTTAAATGGATGGCACCTGAGGCTCTGTTTCATCGGGTTTACACCACTCAGTCCGACGTGTGAGTATTTGATCAATTATTTGCCAATCTAGGGAATATTTGATGATCTAGAGCAGTGTCTCTCAATCAAATTTCATTAAAATTTCACTAGTGACAGAAATATTCAATATTTTGAGAAATATGATTCATGTACTAGTCGAGTACTAGTAAATAAATATTAATATTAAATAAATAAAATATTAAGTATGCAAAATAATTTGGTGCCATTTTAGACAAACAATTTAAATAAATTAAATTAATTTAGACTTTAAGAATAAATTCGAGCCAATAACCAAAGCTGAATAATATCCCCTGAGGCAGTCCAGCATTAATTCTCCTTCAGGGACTGACATATATTATGTAGAGTGTGAAATTTTTTATCGTTAAAAGTATAATCAGCTGTCTCTCAAGCGCGAAAATATTTTTCTGGTAATTCGTCTCCTGAATATTTATATCGTTCATAGACGTCGTTTGTACAAGAACGTGTGAAGTATTTTGAGACATACGAATCAGAAAAATATACTGTAAAAACAGCATTTTCATTCATATGTACAATTCATGATTCAGAGTCACAATTTTTAAATAATCTCTATAAGAGTTACTTTAATATTGACATTTTATCTTATTCTTAATATTGAAAGAAAATTCAATTTTTCCAGCCATTTAGTATTTCGAAAATGTTAACGGAATCATTAAGGAGTTATTTATCACGATGTTTCAGATGGTCGTACGGGATTCTGTTGTGGGAGATCATGACGCTGGGTGGTACCCCTTATCCGTCCGTACCATCCGTAGAAAAACTGTTCCAGTTACTGAGGACAGGCCATCGAATGGAAAAGCCACCGTGTTGTTCTATCGAAATGTAAGCAGAACGTTTAGTACTTGTATTCCTATGGCAAGAGAGAATAATATTACAATAAAACAACGAATCGTTACAGATACATGTTGATGAGAGACTGCTGGAGTTATCAGCCCAACGAACGACCAATGTTTGGAGAACTGGTCGAGGATCTCGATAGGATATTAACGATAACTGCGAACGAAGTAAGAAAAACATAAATATTTTTTATTTTTTAAACATTCTATATTTCTTAATATCCTAAATAAAAATAGGGAAAAAGTACAAGATATTATTATTATTAATAATTATTCCATTTTGTGTTTATGTAAATCATACCTTTAAAAAGAAGGAAGATCGATCGTCGATTAATCGTTTCAGGAATACTTGGACCTTGGCCTTCCGCAGCTAGACACGCCGCCGTCCAGTCAAGAGTCCAGCGAAGCCGACGACGACGAGGGTGAAGAAAAGTTCCCCTACCTGCTATGAAATCTCCACGAACGATCGGTTTTCACCGAAGAATGTGTTACGATTCTGATAAAAAGCAAAAAAAAATGAAAAATAAAAAGGGAAAACAATGACCCAGAAGGAAGAACGAACGAAGACGAAGAGGACTGAGAGAAGGAGAAGAATAAAAGAAGAACACGAAGAAGGAAAAGAATCGTCAAGAAGAAAACGAAGATCACGAGATGAAAGAACTAGCCTAGGGTTGTGAGGAACGCTAGTGAATTTGAGTCAACCGACTGACCTAGCGAACACGCCAAATAATATAAATCAGTATTGACTTGTTTAGCGCCGTATCCCGTAGCGTTTAAGGAAGAACGGATAGGAAGAATCGATCGAAGAAGAAAAAACTCCGACCTTCGAGGAGACTGATGTTTCTTACCATGAAACACCGTATTTATTTTCCTGTTATCCTTATTTCCTGAGAAATTACTATAACGGGGACGACTGGGTACACCCCAACATGATCCTCCTACTGTCTGAACGCGTGAAGAAGGCAGGGGAGCATTCACATCCTCACTCCAGTTACAGCTCGCTATTGGCTGGAGGCGGTAACGAAGGTCGACCGTGGCCAATAGTCTGGTATCCGTAATAGTGGGAGAACTAGCGGACTGCGACTGGAGTAGAGATGTAGACACTGCATCCCCAACTTCTTCTCGAAGTCAGAGAGTACAGTAAAGAGCTCAGAGGAATCATCTATGATTGATAACTGAATGAATGATCAGTAGATTGGATTAATGATGAATTTTCTTCTTGGACCAACATAAATTCTTTAAAATTTTCTTAATTTGTCACTCACGGCCATAGCTACTTGAAACTTGTAGACAACGTGTTATAAAGAGAAGTATCGGAGTGAGCCACTAACAATTGTTATTAGGAGTTTCTGCAGACTGACTTCTTCTGAGCTCTCTACAGCATGGTCCGCGTGAGTAATATAGCGTGCTAGTAAAATCAATGGAGCCTAAATTACAGTTGTTTCGATTTCCGATGAGATAGAGATGCATTCGTGAGTCAATCAGTGCCGTACAATGACAATCTGGAATCAGTTCTATAGCTGGATATCGCTAACAATGATTTACGAAAGATTAATGTTCTTTTAAGCACTAATTAAAATTTACTAGCTCTAAATTGATAGCAAGTGATAGTTAATGTACTGAAGTGAGATTTCAAGTCAATTGACCATTTTTTCCATTTCACTGCTCGGTATTAAATACTTACAGCTAGAAACTCCAGACGAACCCAAGTTTAAGCGACTTCAACGGTGTCAAATTATCACGATAATTTACAAACTCGTTATATTTCTCTCGTGGACTATACATATTCTCACACATGCATATCCTCATACACACGTCTCTCAGGTTCCCTGGTTCGTACGACCAACGAGCCCCACAGGAAAAGACTTTGGTGCACACCTGAACTGAGTTTGTAGCCAAAGCAAGCTGTAATGAACGATGTTTATAATACGAATGTTCAAACGTCCAATTTTGTACATGTTACTCTACCGTGCCATTGATAAGTGCCTTGGGAAGTGTAAAGAGCAGAAAAAGGATAAGAAAAGTTCAGCCAGGGCTTCTTGTATTCGTCAGCGTGGAGATAGGGATGAACGAAACACGAGATGGCGCATCAGGCTTGAAGACAGATCCTGGTCGTAGATCCTCTCGAAACGTGTTTGTAACTAGTCAATTAATGAAACTTGTACGTTTCTCTGTATCATAGTTCGAAAAACCGTTTATTAAGAGTATGTATTATGTTAACGTTTCTACGTGAAGGGACTTCAGTGGACAACGAGCGTGTGTCTTCTACAAGTTCTATAGTTCGTGTAACGAGACGAATTACAAGCTAACGCGTGATCGACGCATGCGTAGAACAGGGGCGGCTCATAATTTTGGATAACCCTAAATATAAGAAAATAAAAAGTTATTTGCTTGCGGCCACTTAACTGCAAACATAATACTGTGGATTTTTTGTTACGTCTCGTTTGACGGACTATAGTATAATTTCGTGTAAATTTCTTTTTTTCTTGTAAGAAGACGAGACGAGAGTCGTGTAGATCGTAAAGGAAGACGAGCGACGCGATTCCGTTAGTCTTTTCGACGACTTTTTAAAATTAACGGAGATAATTTTCAATGGGTACATATTTGGAGGTTAATTGCGTCGAGATACTAACGGAAATGCCCTCATCGAATAGGCATATGCAAAGAGAATATCGTTGAATGATGTACGACATACGATTTCTTGTCGAAAGACGACTTTGCACGCGAAAGACGAGTTAAAAAAAGAGAAAAAAGTGGAGAGAGAAAGGAAAAGCATTTATTGCATCGTCCACGTAGATGTGAAATGCAAAGGAGATGTATAAATGGTGCATGCGAGAGGTGCTTAGTAGTAGATAATTTATTTCTTTGTATATTGTTACTTAGGATGTATTTTAGGATGTCGTTAACACTTACGTATTTTTTTCTTTTTTTTTTTTTTTTTGTATTACCAGCGGACAACTGAGGCGAGATGCGTGTAAAATATGAAAAGGATTAATCAGTTGATCAATGAAAATAATATGTAAACGCGACGAGAGACTCCTTGTAAATAGCACCGACCTGTTTATTTAAAAGTTTTTTCATTTTTCTTTCTTTCGTATCCTTTTTTCTTTCTTTCTCGTTACCCAGCACCTAAAGGTAGCCAGTAAATCAGCATTTACCAAGGTAGATTGTATGTATAGTCTGCGTAAATATTGGATTATTATTGTAACGTGAGTTTCGTCTCGAATAAATCACTGGAAACTGTACCCACATTACTCGACATCTACCGTTTATTATTTTTAGTTCTTTTCTTTCATGATTTGCGATTTTTAACCGTTCTTCGTGGTTTTGGACTAGTTAAGACCTGGAAAATTTAAAAATGAGCAAATAATACAGTTCTTGAAAAAATTTAGAAGACTGATTTAATTAAAAAAAAAAATTCGATCTCAATTTACATCTCGGTACAATAGACACCATGACTTTACATTTTTTTATTTTATGAATTTAAGAAGTTAAAAGATATTTAAAATATCTTCATTTTATTATTACAAATATCTTAAATTTAACCCGTAATCTTTAACTTGGTACCGCTTACCAAAGAGAAATTTTTGAGAAACGATGCCAAGTACCAAGTTTCATCATCTGACTAGTGCATACGCCAAAAACCAGCTAATCTGCATTTCATACATAGGTCTCTTATTCCGAGTTGTTCTTTAAGACAATGAATGAGTATTGAAAAAAGATATGAAAAACGCAAATAAAAGTGAAAATGATGATACGTACTAAAAAATAAATTTACGATCTCTTTGTTCATGATACTAATTTATGCTAGTAGCTGATGACCACTGACTACCCTAATTCCTTATCTCATCTAACCTCGTCAAAATTTCACTCTATACCAAGCGTTGTTAATTTGGCAAATGATGTGGTCTGTGGCTGCTGTAGCGTTTATATAGCCAACGCCAGCTGCCGAACACTAGCCGAAAAGTCCCGATCGTTACCGATTCCACTAATAATTTCTTTTCTGTGAAATAATCAATGATTTATTAATATATTTCTGTATTATTGTAAGTTCATCCTTTGGATAATTTGTCATTAACTATGTTAATATAAATTAACGTGATATTTAATAATTTATGCATTTTTTGTAAGTTGTAACTACATTTATGCTTTCGTAGTATAAATTTCCATGATAATATATGTAAATACGTATATATAATAAAATATTTTTACTATCTTTTATAGAATTTTATTATTTACTATTTTAATTATTTTAAATTATTTTCTGGAATTTGATAAGTAATAAATTATAGAAAGCATAATAAAACCTTTAATCTTTTTGACATTTCATTCGTTACAAAACCGAAATAAAACTGATGAAGAATCAATATATCAAAAGATACTTAAATCATAATCGAAATCGATATCTTCGCTGATTTCGGTCCTTTCTAGCACTTATAAAAAATAACGATTCTGTGAATTGTTTTAAGAACTAATGCCGATATTGTAACAATTTTCAACTCCTAAATGTTTGTAAGTCTAAGTTTTTTTTATAATTTAGTCAACCTTTATTTATGCTTTCTTAATGCATATATCAAGTTTAATCAATGTAATTCCAAGATCGATCGAGTTATCCTTGAATAAAATAGACGTACAGACTTCATCACGATTAAACGATAAAACAAATTGGCGTACGATTGATCGTGAACATATCAGAACCCCCCACCATTAGACAGAACCGCGTGTCCAGAGAAAAGTTGACCATAAGACAAGCGATGGCGCTGAGATCAGTTCGTTTTGTTGTCATCAACCACATTTACACTAAGTTGTTTTTACCAGGTTTTTAGTGGAACGTTTAATTTTGTATTTCTCCATTTAGCTTCGATTCAACGACAAAAAATGCCAAGGATGGTACGGACCGTTCGCACAAAACTTCCTAACGAATAACACGAGTGAAAGTTGCCGTTGTGTGCTAACACTCGACATTCAGGTTAGAATCTGATAACCCACTTTTTTCGGAGCACAGAATTTATTTTCACGTACCGATCGTTGTTCATTAACATCCGTTTGGTCCTTTGTCGAGTTCTAAATGAGTCAAATTGTGTGTCAACTCGATAAATTTACTGGGATTTACATATTACGGTATTTTAACCATTCCTACAATACCATTTTATGTGTACCATTGTGACATAATTACTTTTGAGATTTTCTCTTATTTTGCAAAATAAAAGTGTCATGTTATTATTACTGTGTATGATCTCAACTTTAAGAAATTGTAAATTTGGAACAATTTAACGGCATTAGAATCTGATGGCACATGTATGGTGTCGTAGGTAGTAATATTTATTAAATGGTGATTACCAGTGCCATGGAGAGAAGAATCAAGTTAAAAACATTGAACAACCACATAACATGCAAGATATGCAAGGGTTATTTGATAGATGCCACAACTGTAACGGAATGTCTACATACGTTCTGCAAAAGCTGTCTTGTAAAACATTTAGAAGAGAAACACACATGTCCAACATGTCAAATTGTTATACATCAATCACATCCGCTCCAATATATAAGCTTTGACAGAACTATGCAAGATATTGTCTATAAATTAGTTCCTGATCTTCAAGAAAGTTAGTATTTTTCTCTTTATTACTAAATCTGATAAAAATCACAAAAAATCCTGTATAATTGATAATTTCATTTGATACATTTTGTTTCAGATGAAATTAAAAAGGAAAGATAATTTTATA